TTTACCCTTCTACCTGGCCCCTTGTATCGCATCCATGTGAACCTGCAAATGAAAAGACTGGAGTCATTAGCATTAAATTGTGGGACCACAGTGTTCTGTATTCAGAGATGTTTACTTTCATAGTCCAAATACAAATGAAGAGGAAATGTTAATTATCCAGGCCAGAGCCTAAAGAGTTCTGGTCAAGTAATGACCCATAACTGGAACCAATTAAACCCTGAGATTTGGGAGATGGGCTGGTAGTATTGCTCACCAGGTACAAACAAATCCTAGCACTGATGAAATCTGTCCCCACTAAGTAAAAAAAAAAAAAATTCAGATAAGAAAAATCTTTTTTTTCTTCATATACCATTTATTGATTTCCTTCTTGACAATTTGACAGACAAGATACAAACAAAAAGATGCTTTTGGAACTGACTTCATTTTAAGAACAGAAAACGACAATCTGGCTGACTGGCTGAAACTACTCGTTAAGAAAGGAAATGAATTTTCCACCCCATTCTTAGCATTTTCCATTAAGCTAACTGTATGAACATTTACATATATTGTTCAATATTATGGAGCTAATTTTATTCTACATAGGAAAGTTTTATTCTACATAGGAAAGTTTTACTGAAAAAGAAAAGATAGCAAAATTATCTTACGTTTCTCCCTTCACATATATCCTGAGATAGAATGATAACCCCATCTAGAGTTTATCATAGGAAATTGTTGAACAGAAGGGAACTATATGAAAATGATTCCACTGGATAAAAATGCTTGAAAAATGTTCCAAGGATACATTTACATGATTTCTAGACTTGTTTTCCGTGTGGGATGAGTATGAGTAGTATGGTATAAATGCATCTTATTAATAAATTAAATATTTATGTATGTGGATATAGTTATAGATATTTGGGCAGAGCTTTGTGAAAAGATGAAATTCACAATACATTTCTCACTTTTTAACATACTTAAACAGCACAGTAATGCATTTTTAAAAGATTTATTTATTTATTTATTTTGAAAGAGTCCCAGAGAGAGAGAGAGGGAGAGACAGAGACAGAGAGATAGAAAGAGATCTTCCATCTGCTGGTTCACTCCCCAGATAGCTGCAATGGCCAGCACTGGGCCAGGCCAAAACCAAGAGGCAGGAGCTTCATCCATGTCTCCCACGTGGGTGGGAGGGACGGACCCAAACACTTGGGCCATCTTCCGCTGATATTCCCAGGCCATTGGCCGGGAGCTGGATTGGAAATGGAGCAGCTGGGACACAAACCATTGCTCACATGGGATGCAGCTTTATCCACTACACCACAACACCAGCTCCAGTGCACATTTTTTTGAAAAGATTTTATTTTTACTTATTTGGAAGTCAATGTGACAAGAGAGAGAGAGAGAGAGAGAGAGAGAGAGAGAGAGAATGTTTCTGTATACTGGCTCACTCCCCCAAATAGCCACAGTGGTCAGAGTTGGATCAGGAGCCAGGACCTCCATACAGGTCTCCCACATAGAGGTCCAAGTGTTTGGTCCATCATCCACTGCTTTCTCAAAGCGCATTAGCAGGGAGCTAGATTGGCAGTGGATCAGCCAGGTCTCAAACTGGCACTCTAATATGGAATGCGGTGTAGCAAGTGGTGGCTTAACCTGCTACACCACAATGCCACCCCCACCTTAATGACATAAATGTATATTGTGCCATTTTCACATCAACATCCCACACAGAAACATTTAAAATCATTAAAAGGGGGCAGATGTTAGCCTAGTGGTTAAGTTGTCTGCATCCCAAATCAGAATGCCTGGTTCAGTACCCAGCTCCACTCTTGACTTCAGTTTCCTGCTAATGCGCACTCTGGGATACAGTGCCGATGGCTCAAGTGATTGAGTTCCTGCCACCCACACAGGAAACCTGGATTGGGTTCGTGGCAACTAACTGCCCTCAGCTGGGGTGGGGTCTATTGGGGGCACTTAAGGGGAGTGAACCAGTGGATGGAGTGCTCTGTCTTCCTCTCTCTTTCCAATCTCTGCCTATAAAATAAGTTTTAAAAAGAAAAAAAAAACACATTAAAAGTAAATTTTCTAATATCTTCATTGAGAGTATGTGTTCAACCTGTTCTTTGAAATAAAGCATCAACCATCACTGCAATTCCGAGAACTAAGCTGTTAAGAGTCTGTGGTGACGAGCATGGGCTCCTTGCGGGTTGCTGACAGTATAGACTGCTACAAATGGCTCATTGTACTTCTGAGCCATGCTAATGATCCATGCCTAATGGATCATGAAGAGCATCTTGAAGCCTCCTTTTCCCTGAACATCGTCAACTCCCAAGACCTTGTCAAACAGCACCAGTGGTTGCCATGAGGAGATCCCCCAAGCATCCCTCCCCCAAAGCAACCTTTCAAAAACAGGCAGCAAAATTCAAGGAGGATTCAACAGTGCACATCTGAGCTTTAAAAAAAATTAAACTTGAAATTGTTCTTGAGAAATTGGCATTTTGCAGTGGAAAGAGTAAACTACTACTCTGTGGGAGTTCCACTTTTAGCCAACTAAAATAAAATGGTAGGTAATGGTGACAGAACACTTAGTGACATGCAGCAAAAAGTGCTTTACATGTGTTGCCTCTTTTAAATTTTGTGACTTTCCTATAAGTTGCATTATCATTCTCATTTTATAGATGAAGTCCTTAGAAAAGCCAACAGACCTCCTAAGGAGACATTCTTCATTTAGGAAGGGGCAAACAGGGATTCAAACCTAGGTCTCTCAGGTTGTATGCTATGAGCTACAAGTACCTTTAAGGTCCTCTTGTGCCATCATACAGAAATCTGTGAACTCCGAAAATTTTCCAGACATCCAGTGGAAATCATATATTTACTCGTTAAGAAATTCCCAAAAGAGAAAACTTAGAGTTGAAAGAATTGGGTTTAGGGGTCAGCGCCATGGCTCACTTGGTTAATCCTTCGCCTGCAATGCCTGCATCCCATATGGGCGCCAGTTCTAGCCCCGGCTGCTCCTCTTCCAGTCCAGCTCTCTGCTATGGCCGGAGAAAGCAGTGGAGGATGGCCCAAGTGCTTGGCCGCCTGCAACCGCATGGGAGACCAGGAAGAGGCACCTGGCTCCTGGCTTCGGATCTGCGCAGTTCCGGCCATAGCGGTCATTTAGGGGATGAACCAATGGAAGGAAGACCTTTCTCTCTGTCTCTCTCTCACTGTCTATAACTCTGCCTGTCAAATAAATTTAAAAAAAAAAGTCACTATAAAAAAAAAAAGAAAGAATTGGGTTTACATCCCTGCTCTGTCATCTGTGTCCTGTGTGACTTTGGGAAAATTACGTAGCGCTTCAATGTGGCTATGATAAATTCATTGAGATAACTGACATCATACACACACACACACATACACACACACTTTTTTCAGATAAACATACTGGTTAAGAACAACCCTAGAGGCAGGTGTTTGGCCTAGCAGTTAGGCTGCTCCTTAGGATGGCTGCATCCCATATAGAAGTACCTGAGTTTAATGTCCACCTCCAGCTCCTATATCCAGCTTCCTGCTAATTCAGACCCTGGGAGGTAGTGGTGGTATCTCAGGTAATTGGGCTCCAATGCAATTGGAGACCTGGATCAATTCCAAACTCCAAACTTCAACCTGGTCTAGCTTGCTCTCATTCTTGCTCACTCTCTCACTCTCTCTCTCTCTCCCATGAATAAATTTTAAAAGTGGTTTTTAATCATAAAAATCCAACTCTGGGTGTGACTATATCCAAACATTGTTAACTCCTTTGTTCAGAGAGTTAAAAAACAAACAAACAAAAAAAAAAAAAAAAACTGCAGTGCTAAATCTCATTCAATCCACTCTAGGTTACAAGATTACATAAGCCAGGTTTTGGGAACTATACTGATAGGAGTTTATTGTGTGGTTGTCTTAGAAGGGTCCTGGGTCCAGACGATGCCCCCATGTATGAAAGCAAACTCTTTCAAGTGAAACGATTTTTTACCACCAGCTGTCCTGGGAAGAGGTATTTCTAGGACAACAGAAGAGGAGTCAGAAGATTCCCCTTTTGACAAGGGAGACCATAGCCCTTTCCTTAGTCTAAGGATCCAGAGCACTTCATCTAGTGTTGGGTACTCTTAGCCACCGTGACACGGCTCCAAAAAGAAGAAAGGAATCAGTCTAGGGGGAAGATCTACGGTGATACCATATCTGTGAAGTACTGCATGTTTTACTTCTTTTCCTGGTATCAACCTTCAGTAAAATCTCTTCTATGACCTAGAACAAAGTTCAGCAAACATTCTGTGTAAAGGGTCAAATAGTAAATATTTCAGACTTTGTGAGCCTTGCTGTCTCTGTTGCAACATTGTAGTATTTGTTGGCTGTGCCCCAATAAAACTTTATATACACTAAAATTTTAATTTGATTTTCATACATGATGAAATTTTATTTCAAACATTTAAAAATGTAACATCCATTCTTTACTTATGCTATAAACAACACTGGCAGTAGGGAGGAAAGGAGCTGGTGTTGTGGCACAGTGGATTTGACCACCATGTGCAATGCTGGCATCCCCTAGGAGCACCTCTCCCTCTCTCTGCCTCTGTAACACTCTGCCTTTCAAACAAATTTTTAAAAATTTGGGGAGCGGATGTTGTGGTTTAACAGGTTAAGCCACTGCCTGCAGTGTTGGCATCCCTTAGGGGTACCGATTCAAGTCCCGGCTGTAGCTCCCTGCTAATATACCTAGGAAAGCAATGGACTATGCCCCAAGAGCTTGTGTACCCACGTGGGAAACCTGGATGAAGCTCCCGGCTCCTGGCTTTGGCCTGGCCCCGCCTCAGCTGTTTGCAGCCATTTAGGGAGTAAACCAGCTGATGGAAGATATTTCTTTCCTCTCTCTCTCTCTCTCTCTCTCTCTCTCTCTCTGTAGAAATAAAATAAATATTTAAAAATAAATAAATAAATCTTTTTTAAAAAATCTGGGTGGTAGGAGTGAGTGGCAAGTAAGATAGCCCCATTCCTTATCAAAGTACCTGCTTTGATTCCCAGCTCCAGCTCCTGACTCCAGCTTCCTGCTAATGCAGACCATAGGAAGTAGCAGTGATGGCCCAAGTTGGTGAGTCCCTGTCACCCGTAAGGGAGTTCCAGGCTGCTGGTTTCTGTCTCTCTCCTTCCCTCCATCCATCCATCCATGCTTCAAATAAACAAATTAAAAAATTAAAACAAGTAACAGACAATACATGAACCATGAGTTGGATTTTCTCAACTCCTGTTCTAGGAAATTGAAGATAAAATCATGTCCTTCTAGGAAATATATCCTCCTCTGAGGACTTGAAGATGGAAACTCACTGCAACAGTTACCGTCGGAAGACAGCTATATTCCACTGAATTTCAGAATGTCAACAGAACGCAATAATATCCTTTAAATTTCTGGAAATTGATTATTATAGATGTGAAGCACCAGTCACATGCCTGGTACACAGAACACGCTCTGATGACACCTGATTCCTCCCTCCCTCCCTTCCTGCCTACTTGCCTGCCTGCCTGCATTATTCCTTTCTTCCTCTGTCTTCCTCCCTTTCTTTCTTCCTTTTTTTCTTTTACTGATTTTAGCTTCATAAACTCATTGTGACTGTATTCAATTCATATCTGAAATTTGGGGATTTTTCCTAAGTCTGACTAATAGAAAAATAGAAAAGTCAAATCTTGCATTATTTAAAATAAAATACACAGTTATTACAAGTTCAGTAATTGTTACTTTTGAGAGAACAAATTTTTCAAGTTTTATAGTCAAGGGACAAAAACAAAATTAGAGAACATACAAAAAGATTCTCTGATGGTGGTCTTTACCACACACCCCCCATGTAAAAATTTTCCCCTTTGTCTCCACATTCTGCACATGCCCTTGTGTATGTGTACATAGTCATGTGTGCCTTTCTCCAACCTTTACTTTTACGCACACTTTGAAATAAAAACTTTCATTAAATTCATTCATCTTTTGGATTAGCCAAAGGAGAGCTTTGTAGACATTAATGTAGCATAAAAAATCAATACATCACAATTAGGAAAAAAAGGCTATTGGAAAGCCTCCTGGCTTTTATTTTATTTTATTTTCCCTCAGACACATTCAGTGTGTTTGAACGGAGAATAATGTTGCTGTTCATTCCATCAGCCAGAATTCTTGAACCAACGAAGCCAATGGACACTAATGAAAAGACATTTTTCATGTCCGTTACATTTGACTCAACACCAAGTTGCTTAATGAATTACATTTGGGTTTCACCTTAGAGTTGATTAAATATTTAACATTTGGAACAAAAATACAGCTGCATTTGGTAGGTTAAGGGTGAGCCACAAAATTGTTTCTTGAAACCAATTCTAAAAGTACATTATAGGTAACGCTTTTAAAAATGATCTAACCCAGTAAACCAGTATTTCAGGTGAGAAAACTGAAGTCCAGACACTCAGGTGGCATGTTCTGGGTCATCCAGGTAGATTTTGATCTGCCACTGATTTTAGCCACAAACTCCTTTCAGTTGTCACTCCTTTTGAGAAGCAGAAAATGTTGTTTATTTTAGGATGGTGAAATCCTAGTTTTCATAGATTGCCCCTCTTTTTGAACAGGTATAGGCTTTGTACCTGACTTCAGGGTGCACATATTTCTGTCAACTCCATATCAGGTTTCTGCTTTAAAAGAAAGATGTGGATTTTAGTGCCTGCCCATGGGTAGCACAGGGGTAAGTCTCAACATGTCTGAGTGCAGGATTTATTCTTGAAGTTGCCAGCTCCAGTTAGTTGCAAATGTAAAAGACACCAGTTTCAAAAATAACAGCATATTGCAATGAAACCATAAAATATGTTTATTATGCTCCTTCTCTGAGGACAATTGACCACACTAGAAAAAGTAGATTGATAAGATGTAATGGCTTTTTTTAACTTAAATGTGATTTGGGAAAATTAATACTAGGTTCTGATTTAAAAGCTGTTTAGGATAATGAAATTGTAAAGCTATTTCCATTATTTTGACCCAATTAATTAACTTGATAGCATTATTGAGGTATAATTGATATGATAAATGCACATATTTAAGGGACATGGTCTGACTAGTGTTGATACTTGCATATGCTCATAAAACCATCATCACAGTGAAGACAATAAACATTTCCATGCAAATCAGGTAGACAGCAGGGATAACTTCTGTTGGATAGCACAGTAGGGTGACTAGCTTACAACATCATATTATCTATTTCAAAATTATTAGAAAAGAGGAATACAAAGGTTCCTAACACAAAGAAGTGATAAATGTTTGAGGAGCTAAAAATGCTAATTACCCTGACTTGATCATAAACATGTAAAATGCATGATTGAATTATCACACTAGTTTCCATAAATATTATGTGTCTTTAAAAATTTTTTAAGACAGTAAACATTTTCATGATGTCCAAAAGTTTCCTATTACCTCTTAGTAACCCACCCCCTCTCCAACTCTGTCCCCTGCCAACCATTAATCTGCTTTTTTGTTTGCTCTTAATTTGCTCTGTTCTACTGGTTGCCAAATGAACTTTTATTGAAATATTTTCCTTTGCAGTTCTCACCTAGGTGGGCATTCAATTATACCACAGCTGATTTCATCTGTGAAGCCATGAGGGTGGTAGCCATCAACATTGCAGCCCCCAGAATAGGCAGTCCCCAGGCTTTCTTTAACGGTTCCAGAAAGTACTCCCACTAAAGGACAGTGCTACATCTGTCAGACAATGTTGACAATCTCATCAGAAGTGACTACTTCATGAACGACATTTGGCATGGTGATTAAGATGCTTCTTGAAATGCCTGTATCCCATATCAGTGGCCTAGAGTCCTGGTTCCGCCTCCAATTCCAGCTTCTTGCTAATGTGCATCCTGAGAGTCAGCAGGTAGTAGCTCAAGCACTTGGGTCCCTGCCATATGCAAGGTCCAGACTGAATGCCGGTTTTCTGATTTCAACCTGGCCAAACCCTGGCTGTGTGGTCATTTGGGGACTGAGCTAGTAAATAGATATCTCTAGCTCACTCACTCTCTTCCCCCTCTCTATCTCTATCTCTATCTCTCTCACTACCTTTAAATAAAAATAAATACTTTTTTAAAAAAGATTTTATTTATTTATTTATTTGAAAGGCAGAGTTACAGAGAGAAAGTGGCAGCAAGAGAGTGAGCGAGTGAGAGAGAGGTCTTCCATCAGCCGGTTCACTCCCCACACTCTTATGGGATGCTGGCGTCCTGGGCGGCACCTTTATCTGTTATGCCACAGCACCGACCCCTAAATACTTTTTTTTTTTTTTTTTGGACAGGCAGAGTGGACAGTGAGAGAGAGAGAGACAGAGAGAAAGGTCTTTTGCCGTTGGTTCACCCTCCAATGGCTGCCGCAGCCGGCGCACTGTGCTGATCCAATGGCAGGAGCCAGGTGCTTCTCCTGGTCTCCCATGGGGTGCAGGGCCCAAGCACTTGGGCCATCCTCCACTGCACTCCCTGGCCACAGCCGAGAGCTGGCCTGGAAGAGGGGCAACCGGGACAGAATCCGGCGCCCCGACCGGGACTAGAACCCGGTGTGCCGGCACCGCTAGGCGGAGGATTAGCCTATTAAGCCACGGCGCCGGCCCCCTAAATACATTATTAAAAAGTAGTTCCCTGGGAGGCACTGTGGTGCAGTAGGTTAATCCTCGACCTGACGGGCCTGCATTCCAGATGGGCGCCAGTTCTAGTCCCAGCTGCTCCACTTCTGATCCAGCTCTCTGCCATGGCCCGGGGAAGCAGTAGAAGATGTCCCAAGCACTTTGGGCCCCTGCACTCACATGGGAGACATGGAAGAAGCTCCTGGCTCCTGGCTTCAGATCAGCTCAGCTCCCGCCATTGCAGCCATTTGGGAAGAGAACCCATGGATGGAACACTTTTCTCTCTGTCTCTCCCTCTCACTGTCTGTAACTCTACCTCTCAAATAAATAAATAAATAAATAAAATCTTTTAAAATAAAAAAGCAGCTCCCAAATTACCAACATTGACTTTTCCTTAAGGACTCTAATGACCAGGGCAGTGGTAGAGGGCACCACCTCAGCCTCGGCCTGTCTATTCTAAATGGTCTGTTCCATGGTAATCCTTACATATCTTTTTTGTTTGTTTGTTTGTTTGTTTTTGACAGGCAGAGTGGACAGTGACAGAGAGAGACAGAGAGAAAGATCTTCCTTTGCCATTGGTTCACTCTCCAATGGCTGCTGCGGCTGGCACACTGCAGCCGGCACAGCACGGCCGGCACACCGCACTGATCCGAAGGCAGGAGCCAGCTGCTTATCCTGGTCTCCTATGGGGTGCAGGGCCCAAGCACTTGGGCCATCCTCCACTGCACTCCCGGGCCACAGCAGAGAGCTGGCCTGGAAGAGGGGCAACCGGGACAGAATCCAGTGCTCCGACTGGGACTAGAACCCAGTGTGTCGGCGCCACAAGGCGGAGGATTAGCCTATTGAGCCGCGGCACCGGTAATCCTTACATATCTTACAATCCTTACCTTGGTGATGTCCTCATGAACCTTCCTTTGGAGATAGACCCAAGAGACTCATCTTAGCAACCAGAGCAGGCATGGTAATACCTCCCCAATCAGCACACCTAAGGTACCCAACTTCGCATTTCTTGGTATTGAACTAGGGCAACAAGGTGGAGGCGGGTGGTGTCGGACTATCCCAGATATGAGATGACTGAGGAAAGTTTCACCATGACTTCCTCTAAGCCACAAACTGAAACCTGCTTTTAACTTGTATTTTCTAGAAATGTATAAAAATGAAGTCATGTAGTATGTACTCTTTTGTGTCCAACTTCTGTCACTCAACATAAATGATTTTTAGATTCAGCCATGCTGTTGAACACGTCAATAGTCTATTCTCTTTTTTTTTTAATTTGCTGTAAGAATATAGTAAAATTAATTTAAAAGTGGACCACAGACCTAAATGCTAACCTATAAAACTTCTGAAAGAAACACAGAAAAGCCAGCAGCTCACTAAGCTACCAATTGTGGTGCTGGCATCCCATGTCAGAAACCTGGTTCAAGTCTCTGCTGCTCTGCCTCCAATCCAGCTTCCTGCTAACATACCTGGGAAAGCAGCAGATGATGGTCCAAGTGCTTGGTTACCTGACACCCTGGCTTCAGTTCAGCCTTGGTTGTTGCAGGCATTTGGGCAGTGAACCAGTGAATAAAAGAATTTCTTTCTCTCTCTCTCTCTCCCTCTCCCTCCCTCTCTCTCTTTCTCTTTCCCTCCCTCTCTCCTTCCTTCCCTCCTCCTCTCTCCATGTTACTCTGCCTTTCAAACAATAAATATCCTAAAATATATTTATATTTGAAAAAGGATAAAATCATAGTGGCCTTAGATTAGGATAAAATATCTTATACAGGACAACAAAACCACAAAGTATTTAAAAAGTCAATAAATTGAATTTCCTCAAACATAAAAACTTTTGCTCTTTGAAAAGCACTGTGAAGAAAATGAGAAGGCAAGCTACTGGCTGTGATAAAATATTCACATATATCTGACAAAGGATTTATAGCCAGGATGTAAAACGAACTCAACAAGAAATAAGGGGCCGGCGCCGCGGCTCACTAGGCTAATCCTCCGCCTTGCGGCGCTGGCACACCGGGTTCTAGTCCCGGTCGGGGTGCCGGATTCTGTCCCGGTTGCCCCTCTTCCAGGCCAGCTCTCTGCTGTGGCCCGGGAGTGCAGTGGAGGATGGCCCAAGTGCTTGGGCCCTGCACCCCATGGGAGACCAGGATAAGTACCTGGCTCCTGCCATTGGATCAGCGCGGTGCGCCGGCCTCAGCGCGCCGGCCACGGCGGCCATTGGAGGGTGAACCAACGGCAAAGGAAGACCTTTCTCTCTGTCTCTCTTTCTCACTGTCCACTCTGCCTGTCCAAAAAAAAAAAAAAAAGAAAAAGAAAAAGAAATAAGGGACTGACGCTAACCAGCTGATCCCATGCTGACAGCCTTCCCACATACCCCTTCCTTATTTCCACCCCCTTCTTCCACTTGTCTGCTCTGAGACTGCCTGCCTGGATCTTACCTAGAACCTGCTCTCGATCTCTTCTGCTACAGGATTCTACTTACTCCTGATATCTGTGACCTGAGCCCATTTATCTCAAGGCTGACATTATCCTAACAGATTTCTCTGGTGTGACTACAGTCTACTGTGGACACATGATCTTGGTCCACATAAGATTCCGTAGCAGTGTCCGTGGGCAATTCCCTGTGGGCTCAAGCTAAGCTCCTAGAAAGCATACTGCTTCAAGATGGACTAGGTTCCCTGTCTGCCCTTAAGGTTCTCTGCTCTTGGGTTGCTTCTTGACCTATATAACCATGCAGCCCAGAAGTGCAGATACATTTATGCTCCCCATGCCTCAAGACAACCCACAACCAATGAGAGATGAGATCTGAGATGAAGGCTCCAGCATCCCTCCTTTCAGATAAAAATTCTGGGAGGCCTTCTGTAACATTCTCGGGGATCCCAAGAAGATTCAAACCTCCATCACCTTGTTAGCACTTGCACTGGATTTTTCTCCTCACTTTCATTCTAGCTTCCTGATGTCACTTCCCAAAGAAACTACCTGCCCAAGTTCATGTCTGAGCCTCCTTCAGGGGACTCCAAACTACATGGCCCCTGACAAATGTCAGACTCAGTTCTAAGAACCAGCATGTATTTCCAAAAACAAACAAACAAACACAAGGTCATATGTGTCACTCACCTTAATTCAGTTGAACTTCTGGGGAGGACAAAAAGGAGTTTGTGGATCCAGATGATGGCTCTGGAGAAAAAGTTAAAGAAGAGCATGAAAGAGAGGATAAGGATTTCATTTCTTTGTTTTTAATCAACTCTAATAAACACCATTCCATCCCCTTGAAAATCTGGTCCTTGCCAGTTGGTTCAGTGCAGATAAAAAGCTTTGGTTCTTGTCCTAGAAAATGAGACTATTTTGATCCAGTTGTAATCATAATAATGTAAACCATGGGTTTAAACTTGGGCATTCCCTGGGAAAACAGTCTGCCTCCTTGCAAACACTGTAAATCCAATATTACCAGTCTGCTGATTCATCCAGTATCCAAAATTGGAATGAGCTTTTCACAGATTTTCTGGATTTTTTTGTTTTACGATTTATTTTATTTATTTGAAAGGCAGAGATACGAGGAACAGAGAGAGACAGAGAGAGATCTTCCATCCACTGGTTCACTCACCAAAGGGTCACAACTGGCTAGGCCAGGTTGAAGCCAGGAGCCAGGAGTTTCATCCAGTTCTCCCACATGAGTAGAAGGTCCCAAAACACTTGGGCCATCCTCCCATTGCTTTCCCCAGGGGCATTAGTAGGGAGATGGATCAAAAGTGGAGCAGCTGGCACTCAAACCAGCACCCACATGGGATGCCGGTGGCAGTTCAACCCACTGCACTAACAGAGCCAGCCCCCTGTTTTGTTTCATTTTTAGCACATTTATGGCTTTTTTTTTTTTTTTTCAGAATTTGTAGTAGGTAAAGTGCACCATTTCTTGACTCTGCAGCAAAGAACTCAAAAGAACATTTCATGAGAGTCTTAAAACTGTGGTTTCCTGAAGATGTTTTGTTCTGTTTTCATTCTCTTTTGCAAGATAAGAGTAGGCCTTTAATGGGGTAGGAAACACAAATCTAGGACAAATCTAATGCACTTTCCTGAGCTCCATTCAGACATCACCATCACTGTAAAACCTTCTAGAACCCACCCACCCAGAACTCTTTTCTCACTTTTTTTTTTAGAATTTTTTTTTTATTTATTTGACAGGTAGAGTTACAGACAGTGAGAGAGACAGAGAGAAAGGTCTTCCTTTTGCCATTGGTTCACCCTCCAATGGCCGCCGCGGCCGGCCGGCACACCGCACTGATCCAATGGCAGGAGCCTCTTCTGAGACGGCTCTCTCCTGTGGCCTGGGAAAGCAGTGGAAGATGGCCCAAGTCCTTGGGCCCCTGAACCCATGTTGGAAGACCCAGAGAGGGCTCTTGGTTCCTGGCTTTGGATCGGCGCAGGTCTGGTCATTGTGGCCATCTGGGGAGTGAACCAGCAGAAGGAAGACCTCCCTCTCAGTCTCTACCTCTCTCTGTAACTCTGTCTTTCAAATAAATAAAAATAATAATAAAATAAAAATAAATAAATTTTAAAAGACAAGTAAAGTAAATAAATTTAATATTTAAAAATAAAGCCATTCTGGTATTAAATGAGACAACATATGTGATACCACCACGCTACCCCCCCCCCCCCCCCGCTGGCAAAGTTTAAAGGATCTCTTCCTGAACACGTGGCTGTCTTTCTCTCCATCTACTGATCTCTCCCTCTCTCTGTCTCTGTCTCTCTCTCTCGTTCTCTCTCTTGATCTCTCTTACACTCTCCATCTCCCTCTTTTCCTTCTTTGCCCCTTCCCTCCAGTCTGTCGGGTTTCCCCCAATAAACTCTTTCCCTTAAAAAAAAAAAAAAAAAAGAACATGGTACAGTGCCTAATGTATAATTAGAAGTCAACCTAACATTGGCTATTACCATCATTATTATTAACTAGTCACATGTCCTTATGCAAGTTACTATTTGCAATATGCCTCACTTTTCCCTTCTATAAAATAGGTATAATGAGATTATTATAAGAATAAAGCAAGAGCGCATGAGGCATCATCCAGTATGGTGCCAGGGTGAGGAGGCCCTCTTACTGGTGTCTCACGGTGGAGTCTCAGGGAGTGTACCAAGTTTAACCATCGATAGTCAAGAAACACCACGTACTTTGAAGCAAGAAAGGTGGTAAGGTCTGGAGTGGTAGCCAGCTTTATTTATTGTCAAGGCCAGCACATTCATCAACTCTCCTCATTAAAATTTGCCAATTAATGAGCAGTGACATACCCCTTAGCAAAGGTCAGCAGCCACCCAAGCAAACTGATCAAAAATTCAAAGAGGTGCAGAGTTTGGGAAAAGTTCACTCTTCCCTTAATTAACGGATCTAATTACAATCCTGACATAACAAAATGCAAAATGCACTCTTCAAAAGACACCGAGTCAAAGGTTTAACAGCCCAGATAACCTCCTCCTTTGGTGCAGGCTGACCCAAATGTAGGGGAGGGCGAGGAGGGAATCTTAGCCTACAGTCAACAGGGTTGATGAAAGGGCTTTTCAAGAAATTAAAGCTTCCTAGCATTTCAGAATCCCAGAGCAACAAAGGAATTGAGAGGGAATAAAATCGCGCCCACACCCTGGGATCCGGGTGAACACAGAGCCAAGGCTTTCGCTAATCTCCCGTCTTAGCAGACGTCAAAGTATTTATTTGGTGACCTTTCCCGGCTGGTTGTGAACAGCACTTTAACATCCTAAAGCGTCGGGCTCTGTAATTGTTGCCTCATTTAGCTGAGACCTAAAAGTACAAGAGGAGAGCGCAGACAGGCACGGCTTCCATTGTTCCTGAGACTGCAGGTTCAGACTGTGGAACCAGGCGCCACCAACCTAAGGCTGGGTGAGACAAGGGCCCGGCCGACTTCCGCCTCCGCCATCGCGCCGGGGGAAGCCGCCATCTTGGGAGGCCGAACTCGCGCCTTTCACGCGAGACTTCAAAAACTGAGACCTGCAGGGCTTGGATTTCGTCATCGCGTGAAAGTCAGCGGAGGCAACGGTAGGAACCACTGAACCTGCTGCTCTGCAACCGGTTCGCGGGTGTTCAACAAGAGGCTTCCGCACCCACAAGGTCCCTCCAGGGGCGCGGCCTACTCACGACGCGAATGTCGAATTACTGAAGCCCAGAGGAAAGGGGCAGAGAGAATCCTGCAGGCCGCCCTCAGCGGCAGGCGGGGCATCTTCACGCACTTAATCCCTGACTTAGTCGGCAAGTGTCGATTGAGCGCCTTGCCCGTGTTGAGCGCTGTTCGTTCGGCGAGACGCACGCTTGAGAGTCCAGAGCGGACCCCATGGTCCCCCTCATGGAGCTCGCGTTCTAGCGGCGGCAGACAGACAGAAAACCAACAAAGCAACACGCAAGGTGAAGACTTCTGCCGTCAGGGTTTGCAGAGACTTGAACTGCAGGAACGTGATAGTCCCTGGGTGACCACTGCGACGGGGATGACCTGGGACGCGCTCCCTGAGCGGCGCAAAGCTGTGGGCGAGGTGCAGTGCGGAGGGGAGATCCTGGAGGTCAGCGAGGAGGCCGAGGGAGCGAGGGGGCGGCTGTCGGGGAGCCGCAGGTCGCCGGTGGCCGGCACGGGACCTGGCACATCTGTGGTGGGGTGTTGGCGTGTTGTTGCAAGTGGAGAATTCGCCTGGAGCCCAGAGAGGAGGCGGCGGAATGTGGCCAGGTGAGAGATGGGGGTGGAGGCGTCGGTGACCACAGAGAACGTGACCCACGGGGCTGGCGCAAGAATTGACTAAATGGGGAAGGAGCCAGAGAACGAAGGAAACACCACTGCTGGGCTTTTTTGGCTTGAGCAGTGGACTGGGTGGGCAGAGAAAAATAGGCCTTGGGGAAAAAAGCAAAGATGAGGGTTAGGAGGAGTTCTTCTTGGCCAATGGATAGCCGGTTGGATACCCGCACGAGATGCCGACTGAGCGCTCGTATACAGAAATGCTTAAATCTGGGATTCTGCGAGGATGTGGGAGGTGAAGGCATCAGGCCGGGAGACACCGCCTCGGAGCTGTTAAAGGGGCCGGGCTTGGGGGAGGTCACCAGGGGAAAGGGAGGATGTTCCCAGGAGGAGCCGTGGGCGTTCTGCTCTCACGCACGGCAGTGCTTTGACAGCGCTTGACAATCACAGCAGAAGCGAGGCGACTCCCCGCGTCCCTGGACGCCGCGTGTTTGCAGTCGGTGCCTCTTCCCTGTAATCAAAAGGCCCTCAGAGGTGAGGCGCGAGGACTCGCCCTTCCTGTGATGTGCCGCAGAGTGAACCCCGGCCCCTCACTCAAGTCCTTCAAGTAGAAAAAGAAAAACATCAGTCAGCTTCCACGAACTGCGGAGCTCTGCTTACTGGGCACGCAAGGAAGAAAAAAGAATTCTCCGTGATCAGAGGCGCTCTTCCCTCCGAGCCCGGGACGAGGCTGCCCCCTGGTGTCCACGGACGCTCATGACCTACCCCGCAACCCAAAATCCATTTTTTCAAGTTGCAACCCACAGAGCTGCCTTTATTTCCTTTAAACTTTTTTTCCTGAAATAAGCACCATTTCCCAGAAATCAATCCCACGGGTCCCCATTAAAGGAACATAAAAAAACGAGGAAATGAGCTTTTCAGATGACTTTAATCACTACCACATCAAAAGGCAAGCTTTTATTTTTTTTTCATTTATTTATTTATTTTCATTTTATTTGAAAGGCAGAGAGACCTTTTCAAGTGAAAAGGCTAGCTTTTAAAAAACACATCATGGGGCGGGCATTTGGTGCACGGTTAAACTGCCGCTTGAGATGCCCCATTACATACCAGAATGCCTGGGTTCAGGTCCCCCTGTTCCAACTCCCCATTCCTGTTTCCTGTTAATGTGCAGGTGACAGCTCAAGTACTTAGGTTCGGTTGGAGACTCAAGCTGAGTTTCTGACTCCTGGTGGCCTGGGGAGTGAAGCAAGTTTATCTCTTGTCTCTCTGCCTCTCAAATAAAATAAATAACTTTTTAATAAAAGAAATTTAAAACCCATCTTTCCCCATCACACAAGGACAATTTTAAAGCAGTACTGATGGCTTCACAGAATCAGAAAACTGGTGCTCCTTTAAGATACCCCAGACCAGGTTAGTGTTGTAATGGGAGTTTCCCAAAAACAGAACCCAAGGCAAGGAATGAATTACAGATGACATCAGAAGCAGGAGGAAAGCTGGAAAGGAGGAAAAGCCGGGGCTGGGCCAGTGAGCTGGAACTCAGTCCCACAGGCGAGCATGTCTGTGTTGGTCAGCTGACAGGCAGCAGTCTGGCCCTCATGTTGGCCAACACTCCTTGCCTGCTGGGGAGGGACCAGTCTCTGACACATTTGATCAGAGCTTGTCAGCAACTGATTGTCTTTCCATGGCTTTAGAAAAATATCCTGAGACAGAAAACCAGACAGAAACCACGGACACCTGCTGCAGGGAGGATGGGAGCAGAAGTAGGAACTGTCCCCCTCCTCGTGACTGAAAAAGATGGGTGGGAGGGACACGGCCTGGGTGTGGCGCACCTCTAAGTCTCCCAGGAAGCATCCCGTTGCATAATTTAGGGGAGGCTGGCTCTCTAGAGTACAGGCACCACATTTGCCATTTGCTGGCTGTGTAGCTGTGGCAAACTTCTCTTCCCTCTGAACCTTAATTTCTTCACACATAAAGTAATTATAATGGTTGCTATAATTAAGTGCTCTTCTAAATAATAAATGTGTTAATATATGTGAGGTGCCTGGTGCAAGGAAAGAAACCCATTAAGTTGTTATAGTATTGTTAATAAAATAATAATTATAAGAGTAATATCTCAATTGCCTCACTGGTCTCCAATTTTGGTTCACATCTATTGGCTCCATTCTGATCTTGTTCTTCCGTAATAGCTTCTATTCCTTCTTCCATCTTTCTTCCTAACAAATATTTAAATTCACTTGTATAAAGACTGCCCTCAGGGCTTGTGCTGTGTCACAGTAGGTTAATCCTCTGCCTGCTGCACCAGCATCCCATATGAGCGCGGGTTCAAATCCCAACTGCTCTTCTGATCCAGCTCTGTGCTTGTGGCCTCGGAAAGCAGCAGAAGATGGCCCAAGTCCATGGGCCTCTGCACCCTCATGGGAGACCCAAAAGAAACTCCTAGTTCCTGGCCTCCGATCAGCACAGTTCTAGCTATTACGGCCATCTGAGGAGTAAACCAGTGGATGGAAGACCTCATTCTCTCTGCCTTTGCCTCTCTGTAGCTCTGCCTTTCAAAGAAAGAAATCTTTAAAAAAAAAAAAAAAAAAGAGTCTTGCATTGCCACACTGGAAGTGCAATAAGGTGGACCAGAACTTACATGCAAATCATATTGTTCTTTCTTACAATAATCCCCTTGCAAAATTTCACACTCCATCTCTCTGCAACCTCATTCTCACCCCATGCATGCATTTAGAGAACAATGTAGAGTTGGAATATAATTTTTAGCATATATAAAGATAAATTGTTTTGTTTGCAGATATATGCAACCACATAAATAGACAGCCTGCATAATACTACAGACTGCATCTCATCTGGCTTTTGCCACCACCCACACCATACCTAACCTGGTAACCTTCACTGGGTAAGCATTAGCTATTGTATTCATCCATTTATCAAATATTTTAAGCACCTACCATAAGATAATTGATGTGTTAAGTGCTGAGGAAGGACACAAAGGTGATTAAAAGATGATTTATGATCTCAAGGTCACCATGGCCTAACAGAGAAGATAATGTTAAATGACTCTATAGGGATGTGTGTGATGTGTCTGTCTTCCACATGGTACAGAGTAGACTAATAAATGTTGGTAGAAGAAGGAAGCAAAGAGAAAACTCGGTCGTTTCAGCAGAAACAAAATCCAGAATACTGTAAAATCTTGAAAGAGTTTTGCTAATCTTTGACTGTTTAAGCTCCCCAATATGCATGTTGAAACTTAGTTGCCACTGGAACAGTGCAGAGAGGTGGGACCTTCAGAAGGTGTTGGCTGGAGCCTGCTGGGGGCTTGCAGTAGCTCGGCTCTTTTGCCACGTGAGGAACGGTGTCCCTGCCCTCCTGAGAATGCAGCGTTCAGGGCACTGAGGTGGGAGGAGCAGTCGGGCCCTTACCTGACACCAACCCCGCCAGCTCCTGGTCTTGTACTTCCCAGCCTCCGTAACTGAGAAATCGATTTATGTTCTTTGTAAATTACCTGATATGCTGTTACAGCAGCACAAAATAGACATGTTTTATGGAGGAGTTCAACTGACAAAAACATGAAAGACAGAACAAGCAAAAGTCCAGTTGGAAACGTTTATTTACCTACACTCTATGATAAAAATGTATAATATGGGGCTAGCACCATGGCATGGTGGATAAAGCCGCCACCTGTGGTACCGCCATCCCATATTGGCACTGGTTTGAGTCCTGGCTGCTCCGCTTCTGATCCAGTTCTCTGCTGTGGCCTGGGAAAGCAGTGGAAGATGGCCCAAGTCCTTAGGACCCTGCACCCGCATGGGAGACCCAGAAGAAGCTCCTGGCTCCTGGCTTTGAATCAGCCCAGCTCTGGCCATTGCAGCCATTTGGGGAGTGAATCAGCAGATGGAAAAACCTCTCTCTCTGTGTCTCTCCCTCTCTCTGTAACTCTGCCTTTCAAATAAATATTTTTTAAAATGTACAGTTTGATGAGAAATTGGGGTGTTTCTCAAGGAACAACAGAAGAATAAATTAGAAAGAAAGTGTCAGGGCCGGCGCCGCGGCTCACTAGGCTAATCCTCCGCCTGTGGCGCTGGCACACCGGGTTGTAGTCCCGGTCGGGGCACCGGATTCTGTCCCGGTTGCCCCTCTTCCAGGCCAGCTCTCTGCTGTGGCCAGGGAGTACAGTGGAGGATGGCCCAAGTACTTGGGCCCTGCACCGGCATGGGAGACCAGGAGAAGCACCTGGCTCCTGGCTTCGGAT